TGTCAAAAAGGATCTTTTGGGAGGGAGGGAAGGGTGCTCGAGACAGGGTTTCTCTGTGTAAGAAAGAGTTCTGTCCTGGAATTTCCTTTGTAGCCCAGGCTGGCCTCGAACCCACAAAGATCTGTCTGCCTCTGCCTCCTGAGAGCTGGGATTAAAGGTGTGTACCACTACCACCAGGCCAAAAAGGGTTTTCATATGGAACATTCCAAAACAAGTACTGCTTCAGAATGAAACACAGTATACTGTACAGTATCTCACCTCAAGAGTTCATGTAGTTCAAAATGACTAAGTTAGTAAGTAAGGGTGCTAAGATTCCAAAAGAAAATATTTTGAATGAATAACAGAATTTCACTTAATGTAAGGATTATTTTAATGACTCTATCAGTCAGCTCTGTAACTGCTGATATATGTATGCAATTAGATAATACTTAAGAAAAGTCACTCACATATGTTCAGTTATATGAAGTTGGGAGTCAGGTGTAGTAGACTACATCTGTAAACCCAGTGCTCAGGAGGGTGAAGTATGAGGTTGGAAGGCTGTGATTACCAGGCCAGCCTGAGCTACATACAACAAAAGGCTGTAGGGTCCCAGTGAACATTCATGCTCAATCTGTTTAGATTCCTTGCCTCCCTAATCGCTAAGGGGCCCATGTGCATTATTTGTCTAAAAAAAGGCATCATATCTAAGGAAAATAAAGGGTAGAACAAGGTAGAATGCTCAAAGGCACTGTTCATAGGGCACTCAGTCTGAGTGATCTGTGGAGTTACAGAAAGGCAGCTTAACCCTCTAAATGACTGACAATTCAGTCACGGGTGGGCACTTCGTTTTTCATAGACTGCTTCCACGCAGCCCTCCAAACTAAAGCTGTAGCAAAAGTCTTTGACACTGAAGAACACTTTCTATTTCTACTTAGAAACAATTATTAAGTTTAAAGTTAAGGTTAATAATATATTTCAGTAACAGTAGTTAAAAAATACTGATCATTTTACAAAATTAAAATATAAAAAAATATATAAAATATATAAAGAAAATATGATAAGCCAGGCCCAAGGCAGAGGCCCATTTCCAGTACTTAGGAGGCTTAAACAAACAAACCCCAAACCCCAAAATCAAACACACATACATCTGTGAGAGGATCATCGGCATCAAGGTTGGCAGCAGGAATCTGGTCTAAGCGGGGCTTCTTTGACACTGAAGAGGAAGTTGTATGTTCTGAAGAAAACAAACATTTAGCTTAATGAAATAAATACTGCATTTAAAATAACATTCTAGAAACTTTTGGGCAAAATGAATCCACACAAAGCATAGTGACAGCAGGAATTCACCCAGTGACTGGCAAGTAAGTCTTTGATAAATATTTGTTAGTAAACATTAAATGAATTAATGAGATATGAGGATCATAGCATCTCAGGAAATTTAGCCAATGTTCACACACAATAGAAACACAAGAAAGGTAACTGATGCTTCTCTCAATACTCTCCAATTACCTGGGGAGTAAATAAAATGGGGTGCTCTAGACAAAAGACCTCAGTTCCAGCTGCTGTAAGGCCAAGTCTATTAACAAGAACTGAATGACGGCCTCTAAGCACTTCCAGACCACCACTTCTTCTAATAGCAAAACATGAGAAGGTGGGATTGGAATAAACCTCATTATCATCCCTAATCATTTATCAAATAGTGCACAAAAATGTTATTTCCAATCATCAAGATACAGACAATTTCCATCACATAGTTTTGAGACAAGCACTTGGGACAGTGTAGGTACCTCGGGTTGGACGGTCCCTATTTTTTTCCCTTGCAGCAGCTCTCTCTCTCTCTTCCAACTCTCTCCTAAAGTCACGGTTGCGAACCTCTTCGGGGGCATCCTGTGTAGTTTGTCTTAAGTAGAAAGAAACTGGGTCAAAAATTGTTACCCTCACTTGTCAAGGAAAAGAACCTATATGGTTATAGCAATTTAAGACAATTCAGAATGCTACTGTCTCTCGAACATAAAATGGAAGAGGACAAGATAATATTCTAATCTGAAGGTTATTAATAGACACTTGTGATGTTTTCAGTATTACTAGAACAAACTGAAGCACACATTTTCTTCCAATATGGCTGCAGAGTGATTGAAATGTCTTTGGCTTTTTAAAATATTAATCAACTGTCACAGTAACATTTCCATATTCACTACAGCTTAGTCTCCTCTGAGGTGGTTATCCTGAATGAGTGCTTCATGCACACAGAGGAATTCCTGGTTAATAGGAATGTCTGCTGAAACAATGTCCAGTAACACTTTCAAACTACCATGCACACTTTAATTGTAAACTCCGTTGAATTGCACTTCTTTGCGGATAGGTAATTCAATACAATAATCTAGACACAATCGTCAGTCATGTGGGTCTGGTCCTGTTCTGGGAGCAGGACAAACGAAGGCCTTGTTACCTGTATTTGATCTTTGTGTGAGAGGGGAGGTCTCTACTCGAATACTGCTTTGAGAGCTGGCTCAGATCTCCTTCTCCTTTCCCCCTTCCGCCTCGTGCAGGTTCAAAAGTCGGTCTGGCTGCTGTTGTCATCTTTTATTCTTGGACAAAAGTAAGTTATATTCAGTAGAACTCTTCATTTTAGAAATCATTCATAAATATCTGTCCCTCTGATTAATTGTCAAAACTCTCCCTGAAATTGCTTAAATAGTTTGCTTCAACACAAATTCCTAAAAATACAGAATTATGGAACTCCAGGTGTACACTAAGTGTGTCCTGCCAGGCAGCTCCTATTTAGTATAAAAAAACTGATCTGAAGATCTGAGTTTGTGCTTTTGTTCTAGCTGGGTAGCCTTGGGCAAGTCTCCTAGCTTATTTCTGTCATCTCTGGAATGCTGACATTTCTACAGTATTATTAGGAGAATTCTGACACATAATGGCAGATCTTGTACAACAGTTTAATGTTGCTTTTCAAATAAGTGTTTTAAAAAATTCTTCTTCGCCAGGCGGTGGTGCCACACGCCTTTAATCCCAGCACTCGGGAGGCAGAGCCAGGAGAATCTCTGTGAGTTCGAGGCCAGCCTGGGCTACCAAGCGAGTTCCAGGAAAGGCGCAAAGCTACACAGAGAAACCCTGTCTCAGAAAAGAAAAAAAAAATTCTTCTTCTTCTACTAGCAATAGATTCTCTTGGGGAGAGAGAACAAATAACAACAAATTATTTGTTTTGCCGGGCGGTGGTGGCGCACGCCTTTAATCCCAGCACTCGGGAGGCAGAGCCAGGCGGATCGCTGTGAGTTCGAGGCCAGCCTGGGCTACCAAGTGA